CCATTGCAACCTAAAGCTCAATGAACAGAATGATAAACACAAAAGAGATTAAAAGCACAAGTTTAACTCAAAAATATAACAAAATCATAATTTAGAATGGTACAAAATGATATACAATTATGAATCGATCAAACAGCTTATAGGCCAAAGCCACAAACTCACAGCCCAAGCCGCATCCATAGCTTGAGCTACACCACGACATGCCCAAGCCGCATCGACGGGCCAGGCCCGACTCGCTAGGAAAAAGAAATGAGCAATAGTAGCTGTTGTCGACAGGCACCACCACCCTTGCTAACCGACGCCGCCATTGCTAGTGTCATACTAGCAGCCTCCCCAAAACATCACGACAACAACCAACAACAGAGGCCAATTGGTCCTCACTGCAAGCAAAAGAAAACTTTGTGGCCGCCGCCGACACTGCCAGTTACGACGACAACGAGCCAGCTACCCAACTGGTTCTCGCTGTGAAGAAGAAAAGAAGAAGAAAAAAAAATTTGGACTTACCATGGGGTACACGGCGACTCCTCTCTTCGACAAGCGGTACAAATTCTCCAAGACCTCTCTCAAGCTAGAAAATAGAGAAACCATGTTTGCAATTTGAAGAAGAATGAAGAGAAGCCTTGTATTTATAAAGGTAGGGCATCCTATGTCAAGAAAGAATCACAAGCCTATTCCCATTGGGAGCCCAACTCCAAGAAAAGTCAAAAGCCTACTCCAATTGGGAGCCCAATTTGTAAAAGGAGTCCCAACTCAAAGAAGAAAGCCCAGACGCAATTAGATGACTTGAAGAATATTTTTCATTTCCTACATGCCCCACAAGCGCCATGCAGAAGTTGGGGGGCATTTGTGGGAACAAATATTTCGGCTTCCAATCACAAGGCGCCACGTGGACAAGAAGAATATCTCTTAGGTAAATTAATTGAGCCCATTTATTTGGCAAATTAATTGATACTAAAAATAAGGATATTATCTTAAATATGAGATATTATCTTTATTTTAAAGATAATATCACCAATTTAGGATATTATCTTAATTTGGAGATATCATCATGAATTAGTGATTTGATCCCAATCAAATTCCTAATTCATTCAATCTCTACAATATGGGGAAAGAATGTCTTCCTTCCAAAAAAGAAGATATTCTTTGAAAAACCCTAGATACCTAGAGCCCTATAAATACATGGTTACATTCAACACACAAGGTAATTTGAAATTCAATCCGAAAACCCTACTCTCTCTCTCTCTTGTCGTCTACCCTCTCTCCATATTTTCCTATCACAACTTCGGCCACTACACACGGCTCCGACCACCCGGTTCTCCCCTTAGAGAAAACTTCATACCCTTTTTAGCTATTGTTTTCTAGAGATTCAATCAAACTAACTTAGGCATCGAAGGGCTTTGGCCAACACCCTCTATGTGTGGTCTTTTACTCCTCTTTGATTTTATAGGAATCAAGGAAGAGAAAGAATGAACTTCTAGAGTTGAAGAATCTTCAAAAGAATATTCTCCCGCGAGATATTTGCATAAACAGGTGTCACAATCTTTAGGGCGTCACCAATACCCACTTGAACTAGTTGTCTACAAAAATAAAATTGATTTTGGTGCGTATAAATATAATATACAAACAAGAGGATCTTACAAACAAAGTTACTCATAAAATCCAAGAGAGCGTCATATGTTAAAAAAACAAGAAAAAAAGAAGAAGCAAATGAAGTTTAAAAATTCACTAGTTGATTGAAAGGCTTTCCAATCCTCGGCAGGAAGCATGGGAATGGATTGACACCTAAACCCCCAGCACTGGCTTATTATATTTAGTCTTGAAAACAACAAAAACAATGACCTCCTTCCAATTCCCATTTGCCTAATCTTTAAAAAAAAATACTAATTTACTACACAGTATATACTTAAAATGTACGCTTTGAAGTTGAATAAGCATTTTATAACTTGCATTATTGGGGCAAGCATGAGCTAATTGGAGGGCTATTGACCCCTATACAAAAATCACAGCATATCTTCCGAGCTCTGATGTTGAAGATTTGGTTTGTATTTTAAAACAAGCCGAAAGAAAAATGGGCCTAATTTGTTTATACTTCCCTAGAGTCTACAATCACCTATAAGAGAGAGTTGAGACACTAAAAAAATCATTGTTCTGCAGTTGATTTAAGTATTGGACAGTTGGAAGTTCCAGAGATATTGAATGAGTCCATGGAGGAGCATAATAAATTGATTTTGAAAGGAGTCTATGATGTACTCTCCTTTGTTTTTTGTGCAAGATTTGTTTTAAAATAATGGTGATGTAAAAGGATATATAAAAGAATAATGGTGATGATGAAAGCACTTTGTAGGTTCTCAAAGATGGAGCAGTAGACCCTATAATTGAGTATTATTAGTCTTACATTATGTTGTCTTCCATTGTGATATCAATATATAGTTAAGTTTTTTTTCATCAAAAAAAATATATAGTTAAGTTTTCTTCTTGTCTTATAGTCAAATTCAAAGGAAAAGTATGGGCACTCTGCTATTTTTCTTCAAAACAAGTTCTCTTTTATACTACTTTTTTTAAGAACAAGCAGAATTTCATTAATATATGGGTAAATCCAGGAGATTTATAATAAGAACACACCCTAAATATTCTGCATTAACAGGGAATCATAAGCACCAAAAGTGAAAGGGTCTAACCGTTGACATCCACCCGACCAAAGAAAGCCACAATACCTCCAACGTCCCACATGATCCCACAACACCTAGTAATGAAAGATCTACCCAGATCTAACAACTTCACCTCCACAACACAAAGGAACCTTAAAAGTCAGTCCAAATTACTGGAAAGAAACAAAATTCAGTACAAAACTAGGGAGAAACCAAACACAGCATAAAACTGGGGAAACGCTCTCTACAACATAACGAGAGAGAGAGAGAGATGCTCGATTTATTAGTCGAAGAGGTTAGTTCTCAGGGGAACCCCTTGAAGCAGAGAGAGGTCGTAGAGAAAGAGAGACGAAGAAGGGAGTAGAAGGGTTGGTTCCACATGATTTAGTTGGTAAAGTGTTTGCCTTTATTTTTTTTTTTTCTCCTTTTCTGGGTGCAATAAGTGCTTTTTCATTGTACAAGAGTCATCAAAGTTTGAGAAATTTTCCAGGGTTAAGATTAGAATAAGCTATAAACCATAACAAGAAAATGTTTGAGACTTTTGGGGGAAAAGACTAGTTTCTTATTTGGTCAAATTATGATTATTTTGATCGGAAATTGTTACTTTAAATTAGATTGGATTTTCACGAAGAAGTCCATCAATCCAATTATTTTACTTTTTGAATTTAGAGATCCAATCCAACATGTAAAAATCGTCGTAATTATAAAATTGGATTCAATTTAGATAGTTTACCACAAACCTATTAAAAGAAGAAGAAATAAAGAAATATTTCATTTGCACCACATATGCTAAAATATCCAACCTGAAACCCATTCAAATCATATTAATTTATACATGTTCTGTATAAAATGTATACATGAAACCTGATTAGGTTAAATCCTCTTCATTAGGTTAGATTTACTAGGAATATGCATATGATTCTCCTCCTAATAAATTATCAAGATTCCCCACATCAACCACATCCAATCATAACTTTAGAAATTTACCAGTTATAATTAAATTATAATCGAGGCTGAGGTAGATCAGCATTGAGCTCCAAGTGGGTGGTCCCAGTGTGACAAAAAGGATGGGAGCTTTATGTGAATGTCGAGGGTCCCACAGCAACATTACCAACCCATGTCAATCAACACAAAACTCCAAATGAATCTCTTTCAATCTTATTTAGGAGACGTCCATTCTAAGCTGACGCTGCCACAGATTCCCCCAATTCCTTCTTATTCACGAAATTATAATGTAATGCTAATTTTATTTTCTTTTTTTGGGGGGTGTCCATTCTAAGCTGACGCTGCCACAGATTCCCCCAATTCCTTCTTATTCACGAAATTATAATGTAATGCTAATTTTATTTTATTTTTTGGGGGGGTTTAAAAATAAAAAGAAAGAATAAAATTATGAAAGTGAGACTTTGTAAAACACCAAGATGACCGCCACTCGTAGTCTGTTTGTTTTTGTTTTGGTTTTTGGGGAAAATACAAGACCTGTCGCTAGATTTTGCAAGTACCAAATAAATACCAATAGGTTAATATGGATTGAGGCCTTCGGCACAATCCAAAGAAAAAGTAGTGCCAACCCTAGAGGACTTTTACCTTTTTTGTTTTGGCATACTTGATTAAGCTTTAACCAAATACATATTTTCAAATTCAATGTATATACGTGGTGTAGTCAATTATGGAAATTTGTAAATTTTGGAAATTTCAAGTATGGACATCCTTTTCTTGGCCATTTGGAAACTAAATATTTACAAGACGATAAAATGATTAAAGTTCTTTTTTTTTTATCTTTTTTTTTTTTTTTTTTTTGCAAAGAAATGAAAGATAGTGGACAGTATATTCAGAGAAATGCGTTCACCTTTTTCTTTAAAGTGCATCCTGTAAAAACGTCACGTTTTTTGACGGTCCATTTTAGAGAATTATTGTACATATATGTATGTATGTATGTATGTATAGTATATACGTGTGTGGATGAATGTGAATGCAGAAGCCTAGAAACGTCTAAAAATATAGAGGACCATTGGAAATTTCATAATCATGAACGGCACTTTCTGGGCTGGAAGACAAAAAGTTTTCCGCCAGGCAGCATTTTGGTAATAATTGAGGTGGGACAGAGGAGGGTCTGGGATTTAGAAGTTTAGAATTACGATGTGGTCACAAAGAATTGAATTTAGAAAAGGGAAATAATTACAGAGAAACACCGATGACTGAAACAACCGACAAATAATTTGTACCAGATGTAAAATCCAAGTTCAAGAAATTTCAGACAATTAAAAGCGCTTCTAATAATGTTTGGCATCTACGCTTCTGATAATGTTTGTAGCACAATTAATTACCAGTCTTATAAAGCAAAAGATAATCTAAGAAGCTAAGGTTCGAAGGTTAGAACCACATAATATATATATAAGAAAACTTTGGCCAATAATGTCCATTTGAATCCATAAAACAAATGCACTCCACCGACCTTTTTACAATTAACTTTACATAATCATACATTCATCAGCTAGCGATCGTAGCTAGCAACACACCCGGTTGTACTATTATGTAAATAACGTCAATGGGGGGCAATTGAGGAAAAAGGGGGTTTGCACCAGCAGTGCAATATTGTGTAACTGACGTTTGATAATCTTCAACATAATTCTGGCTTCATCATTTGTTGTTTAATTAGGCGGCAGCCACCGTCTGGCTCTTACCGGAAGCCTTGGAGTTGGTGGAGGTGGATCGCGAGGCGTGGCGGTCGTCTTTCTTTGAGGCCACGGCCTTAAACTTCTCTACTCTCTCATCTTGCTTCATTTGTTGCTCTCTGCATTCTAGGCTACAAAATGCGGTGTCTCCCCTGTACAAATAATTCAGTTATTAGAAAATTAAAGACATCATTAATACTAAACTTATTTTTCCCTTTACATTATAATGGATTTAACCCTTAACCTATTCTAATTCTATCTCATTTTTCCGCACATCCTGTCTCATATCTATGATATTTAAGCAGGAGTGTGTCACAAAATTACTAACAAACTTTATTATATATATGATTAATTTAGTAGTGGTATCTAGATGAATTTTGGTATCAGCTGCCTGCACATACACCCAAATCTAACAGTACACCTTTTTCTAGGCTACAAAATGCGGTGTCTCCCCTGTACAAATAATTCAGTTATTAGAAAATTAAAGACATCATTAATACTAAACTTATTTTTCCCTTTACATTATAATGGATTCAACTCGTAACCTATTATAATTAATTCTATCTCATTTTTCCGCACATCCTGTCTCATATCTATGATATTTAAGCAGGCTGCAGGAGTGTGTCATAAAATTACTAACAACATATCAAACTTTATTATATATATGATTAATTTAGTAGCGGTATCTAGATTAATTTTGGTATCAGCTGCCTGCACATACACCCAAATCTAACAGTACACCTTTGAAATCCGAAAATAAAAAAAGGAAGAAAAAAAAATCCAAAAATTAAACATAAGAAAAACAACCAGAGAAATAATAAGATAATTCCAACAAGGGGTAAATTGATTAATTACCTATACATGTAGATGTCACGGCCTGAAGCCAAGTGGCGTTTGCAGAGGCCGCACGTGCGAAGAAAGTGAGCGGTCTCAACGACGTCAGGAGCAGCCGAGTTTGTTCGGTGGTTGTTTCTGGGCGACAACATGGCCAGGAAACGGTGCTGTTCATGGTACCCAAAGTTGTTCTTCATGTCCATGCTCTCAATATTATTATTATTATTATTATTAACTGCAGCAGCAGGCCCTTGTTGTGGGCCCACCACCATCGCTGCTGCTGCTGCTGCTGCTGCTGCATGCACATCCGTCGGTTCCTGGCCTTCCACGTCGCTCAGATCAACGGTGATCCCAGTCATGCTTGTTGTCCTCCTCATCGAAGGGCGGGGACGCTTCCCTAACAACATCTTTTTTAATTTGTTCTAAACAAGTTCTGATGGCT